ATATATATACATATATATACATATATACATATATATACATATATAAATATATATACATATATATATATATACACATATATATATATATATTTATACATATATATTTGTATACACTACCGTTCACAAGTTGGGTCATCCATACAATTGTTTTATATTAAAACTTGCACTTTTATTTTCCAAAAGAGTTGCAAAATGCGTATAACATATAGTCAAGAAATTGACGATATTATAAAAAAAAAAAAAATTATTTGAAATAATACATTTTGTTCTTTAAACTTTGCTTTCCTCAAAGAATGCTCCCTTTGCAGCAGTTACAGTATTGCAAACCTTTGGCATTCTCGCTGTTAATTTGTTGAGGTAATGGAAGAAATTCCACTCTTTGGGAAGTACTTCCCAAAACTTGGATTGACTTGATGGACACTGCTAACTGTGTTGGCCCTCTTCATTACATCTGCCTCTGTCCAAAACCTATGTTCTTTTGCCCATAATAATCTTTTCATTTTCTTGGCTTTTTTTTTGGCTCAGATATGGCCAAAAAAAGATAAGCCACTCTAACTAGAAGGCCCTAGAGTCAGCATACCATTTGATAAAGATGCCAACTTCTCAAACTAAAGGCTCCAATGAACTTGTCATCTTGCTCAGATGTGGACTGGAGCCTCCCACATCTCTTTCTAGTCCCATTTGTGCTGTTATCCGATGTGAGTAGTATGCTTCATTTTAGGAAATCCAAGTTTCTTGGCTATTTCCTGCATGGAATAGTTTCACATTAAAGCTCTGTTTTTCTGGCTATTCTATTCAGAGTATACCCCAACCCACAAATGTGAAACTCCAGATACTAAACTAGCTCAAAGGAAGGCTAGTTTTATAACTTCTTGAACCAGCAAAATCGGTTTCAGCTGTGTTAACATATCTCACATCTTCATTGAAAATAATTTCCTTCAAAATAAGTAAATATATGCCGAACCGAGGACTGGCATTCATTCAGTTTTACGCCATGGGGAAGCCGTGAGGGAAGCTGCTAGCTCAACTACGCTTAGTGGCCCCCGATATTGTCGCGCTGTCTTGCCCACTGTCGCCCACCCCTCGCTGGGTCATTTTACCCGTTGCTTTCTTGCTCTCTTTTCCTTTCTCCCTCTCTCTTTCTATCATCTAAAGCAAGTCCTTAGTTATTTGGAATGGCAGAAAATCTGATACCGCTAATCTGCTGGTCAACGCTAGTGAAAATCCAGTAAAAAACATGCACTTTACAGACTAGTCCCCCCGCGCAGTAAATCACAGCCTTTTTTGTTCCACACCTCACTCAGGGACATTTGGTACTGAACATAGACTGGGCATTTAAAACAACGATAACAACGAAACAGGATGACCAAACACAGCAGTGGTTTGGTCGACACCATAATTCTGTAACATTTATGCAGCATTAAAGCAGCAGGTTCTTTGTCCTTGTTGTTTCTTTGTTGTTTTCCTGCAATCCAACGTTACCACGACTTAAAAATAAAAGATTTTATTTTTTGGTTGATCTCTGAGAAATTGTTTTTCCCAAACACAAGTTCCATGAATGTATGCAGATATTTGACCTGGATAGCTGTGGACCAGCTGCTGCGTCCATTACTCCAGTTAAAGATATTGTCATGTCTTAAAACCTGACAACTTCAACAGTTAGTTTTTTCTACAGGCTTTGGTGTGGAAACGTGTATAGCTTAAAGAAAGATTAGATCCAAACAGTAGATAAGCTAAATGTATTGTGTATTGTGTTTCCTACCTGCAGAGATCCCGGCTCCTTCCAGTTTCTGTCAGTGTTCCACGAGCTCCTGGTTTCTATAAACAATTGTGTTCTTGTCCCTGCGGGACGCCAGGGTTTTAATTAACAGCTGTGTTCTTCCGGGCTCTTCACAGGAACTCACCTGTGCACACGGACCGAGGGTTGTTATTTTTTTTTTTTTCACCTCTCTTTTCTTTATTCCAGCAGATCACGGTCAACGTTAGCTTGATAGTAGTAGACTTGGTCCAAAAACTAGTATTTATTTATTGCAATTGCATTTTCTTTGTTCCCACGGTCAACGTTAGCTTGATAGTAGTAGACTTGGTCCAAAAACTAGTATTTATTTATTGCAATTGCATTTTCTTTGTTCCTCAATGTGTGACAGGCAGAGCAATTTAATCCTCTTCTGCAAGGTGGCAGCGGACGGCTGTGAAAACTAAAAAAGAAAATCAGATCTGTTAAAGAAGATGAGTGTCTTTCTTCAATTCCTGCCATTATATCAGTGTTGCCTACAACTAAACGAAGTTTTAGTAAATTGTGAGTAGTACATTTATGTGAGATTTTGGTTTGGTGGTGAGCCATGGGGTTTTTCCTGGTGATAAATATGTGCTGTGCGACAAAAAAAAAAAAAAGTTGAGAAACACTGTTATGTGGGATTCAGAGGGACTGGGTAAGGTCATTGGCTAAAATAAAATAAAAAAAGTTTACTATGTTAGCATTATTTGCTTTTAACATCACCATCACAAATGTATTACAACAACAAGGGAAGTAACCAGGGTGTGTCAAATTTAGGAAAAAAAATCATGTCTTGTACTGTCACGTAGCATTGTTGTCGATAAATATATGTTTATCATTGATTTTGTCTTTATTTCAATCAAATTTATGGTTAGGATACAGTCATCAATCACCATTCTTCTGACACTGTAACCATCATGGTCATAATCCCCTTCATCATTATCACAGATATAATTGCAATACAGTGGCACATTAAAAAAAAAAAAAAAAACCAGACAATAAAACACTGCAGTCTTGTCCAGAGCTGTTAGCCTAGCTTAGCACAAACAGGCAGATGAAGGATAACCTTTTTTTTTTTTTAGCTTAGCCTAACAAAACATTCAAATATAAAATACCTATGAAGAAATAACTTTTTTTTTTTTATCTTTAAAATCTTTACATCTGATTTCGTTCAAAATGACCTCAGCTATGCAAACAGTCTAATAGAATTCAGCCAATAGGCCCAGAGCTTTGACCAAAGTGCTTTGAAAGTAAGACACAACACTCGCTAGTATTGTAGCCTATGTTGCTGTTACTTAGTCATGGTTGTGTTTGGAGGTGGGGGCAGCTGCTGACACGGTGACAGCAGCCAGTCCAGCCCCTGCTCAACTCTTTGCTAAGCTATGACAACAGATCTGGACTTGTCATTAGATGTTATCCGCAGGTGATGACGTGATTGGCAAATGATTGAAGTAGAGTTCTTATGGCAGGAGGCAAAAAAAAACAAAAAACAATTCACAGTAAAGCATCACAGAGGCTCCGCCCCTTCTCTGTGATTGGCTTTTGTTTTGAGCGTGTAATGCTGGTTTTCGGATGTAGGCGGAGTCATACTGCACAGGTGAGTTGGGTGAGTGTCGCTATAGACGGTATTCTTGTTGTGTGTGTGTTCACCAGCTGTCATGACACCAGACATGTGCACGTGGCGAGCACTTCCATCAACTCAGTGCACAGACACTGACAGAAACCGTAGAGGACAAGCAGCAACAGCGTGCATGGGACCAGACTGACCAGGACCACGCCCATCCACAGCTGACCAATCATGAGCAAGTAAATCCCCAGAGGCAAAGAGCTGAAGTACACCTAAAGAGATACACATAGTCATGTTTCCTGTACACAGCATACACGTGATCACACAAAGACACTGACCAGACACAGGGCACCCAGCAGGCAGCGTGGACAGCTGCGTGATGTCCAGCTGTGACACTTGTGCGTTGGGGGGTCACAGGGCAGCGAGTCGAGGGCGGGGCTCTGCGGGCGGTACAGCACGTTGAGTGTGTTCAGTGAGTCCGAGGATGGAGAATCTTCTGTAAGCTCCATGATGGTGATGACCAGACAGTCGGAGGAGCGGTGAGTGGCTGTTGTCACGCTGTTGCCTAACCAAAAAAAAAAAAACTGGTGTTCATTCACACATTATGACATCATTACTGAGGTCAATGAAGAATTCTCTCTTACTGGTCAGAGCGGCTGGACTCCGAACTACCTCGCCTCCTCCTCCTCCTCCTCCTCCTCCCTCCCCTCCTTTTCCTCTACCTCGACGAAGTTGGTCCTGACATGACAGAACAGCGAGGATGTGACGGTCATCCTCCATCAGCCACACCTACATAAACACGGGGGGGGGGGACCAACAATAGGACAGAGGACACGCGTCACTACCATCATTGAAGACCACAGGGTCAAAGGTCAAACGTCTACTAACCTCCTCATCAGGGACATGCGTCTCGTGGCGACAGAATGGACATGTGATGATAGACGGAGACGACTCTCCTGAGAACAAGTCACACAGAAAACATGTGCCCAACGTGATGACTGTGAAACATCTGTATAACCTGATTGGTCACGCTCCGGGTGACATCACATCGAAAGAAACGTGCGTGTCTTTGGGAGTCTGTGTCTCTGAGCATCTGTCTCTGCAAGTGTGTGTCTCGGAGTCTGTCTCGGAGTCTGTACCTCTGACCTACTTACCCATGTCCACCATTTTCTTCAGACACTTGGCACAGACTCGATGGAGACAACCCAGCAGTTTGGGTTTCCTGCTGCGGGTGTCATAACGGTTGTAGCAGATTTTACACTCCAGCTCTTCCAGAGTGTAAACTAGGGACTGAGCCCAGGTCTGCACCTAAATGTACCATATGAAAATAGTTATTGTGTCCCTGTAGGCACCATGGTGCTAGAATGAAGGATGATGAGGAAATCACCTTGCCCTCCACCTCCCGGTCAGACTCTACCTCTTTGTTTTGGTCCATCCTATTAGCAGTTGTCTTTATCGCCAACAGATGAAGTCAAAAGACCGGAGCTTTACTTGACCTGAAACTGTAGAAAGAAAACTTCTGGTCACAGATGCTGTTATGATTAGTGGGCGTTGCCATAGAAACAGCTGTAAACTGATCAATCAGATTCATTACACTCTGCCAAGTGAGGTTATTACCACTGTTGCGATAAACAATAATCGGTCCTTTGTTTATGGTAAAATGGGCTAACGGTATTTGTTTGTACCAGGTAGGTATGTTATTTATCTGATTAAGAAGTACACTGTTTTTTTTAGTTACACTAAATGTTTACAATTTTGTGCTGAGCTGAGCTAATGGCATTGTGTCTTTCAAGTTTAAAAAAAAAGTAACCTTTGTTAACATGTTTTATTGCGTTACGTTTTCAGTGAGTATCTTCACTCACCTGCTGGATGCTGTTGAAGGTTAAATTGTTTTTGGGCCCATTATTCAAGAACCGTGATCACAGCCTGGTCGCTCGGTGATGAAGTACTTGAGTTTGTTTACTTTTCCATTGTTGTTTTCTTAGTTGCACTCACTGCCTGTAGCTCTGGTCACTGGTAAATTTAAACATGTTGTCCATATTACAGCAACGTCCTGGAAGCCCGTTGCCAAAGCTACTGCTGTCTCTAACTGTACCTGCTACTATTGTTGATGTAGTTGCTGTGTTGTAAATGTTACTGCTGTCGGTGTAGTTGTAGCTGCAGCTGTTGCTCTTTCCGTAGTTGCTACTGCGGTGGATGTAACTGTTGCTGTAGTTGCAGCTGTGCTGGCAGTTTCAGATGTTGGTGTAGTGGCAGCTAATGCTGCTGTAGTTGCTGCTACTGCTTTTGCTCTAAATGTTTCTATTTTGGGTGTTGCTATTGCTAATCCTGCAGTCGTGGCTGCTGTCCTCGCTGTAGCTGTTGCTGCTTGTTGTATGTATCAAATGCAGGTGCTAATATTCTTGATGAAGCTGTCTGTCGTTGCTGTTGTCCTTGCTGTAGCTGTTGCTGCCTTTGCTGTGGCTGCTGCAGGAGCTCTGAAGCCTCAGGTTAAAGCAACAGTGTGGTTGCCCAATAAGTTGAAGCAACGGGGAGCAAATTCACAGGCTTACGATTCTTATCTGTGGTCGTCTCTTTCTGGGTCAGTTGCTCTGTTCAGTGTCGGTGACTCACATCTCTCCTCCTCCTTCTCATTGTCACTGCGGTGCGCGGTCGGTTAAGAGCTTTGGTCACCATGGTAACCAACCTGCTGTGGGATGATGGGAAATGTTCATGTGATGATGAGGATGGAGATGATCATGTTTTGATTATTACTCAAACATTTAATTAATTTATTAATTTTACAGTTTCATTTCTGTCATTTCATTTAAATATGATTTTAAAGCTTATAGTAAATAAAAGAGAGGGTCATATTTATAGTTTATTCACTATGCATTTATACAACAATAAACAATAAAGAGGATGGAGAAAGTAATAATAAAAGAGGAAGACTAAAGGATGTGTGGGAAGAGTGAAGGACAGAGGGTAAACTATAAAGAAGGTCAAATAAATGAAGAATGAAATGAAGAAAGAAATAAAGAAGGAAGGGTGGAAGGAAGGAAGGAGCGATTGTGTCGACAGGGCCACTTGGATAACCTTCGTTCAAATAACAGTGTTGTGCAGTACAGCCTGTTTGTATTGCCGCAAATCGCTTATATATATATATATTTATATATATATATATATATATATTACAGAATCACAGTATTCGCAAAAATGTATACTGTATATAGTATTATTTTGGTTATAATCAATTTTATATGCTATCCCCACTTGCTGAAACTTATTTAATGCTTTCTAAATATACATATAGAGAGATATATAGATAAATAGTATAAGAAAATAGTCTTATAAAATAGTCAAATTCTAATACGTAGAGATAATTTGGTATATTGTATTAAAAGCATTTAAGAATTTAATAATAAGAATACACATAACACAATAAAAAAAAGTTAATTTTTTCTAGGGTCTTTTCTTGCATGTTTTTCTTGCTGTTCTGATGCTGAATGCTAATAATGTTCTTTCTTTTTTCTTTTTCTCTTTCTTTCTTTCTATATTTAATATATGAAACATCAAACAAAAACACTAAACAGGGCATTTTTATGCATATTATTTATTGAAAAATAAATTACTGAGCATTTGAGAGACATACATATCTTTGTTGTGATTCGTTTAAATACAGAGTCCCCGTGTTTCGCTGTCCAAGATGGCGCCCAAGATTTGCGCATGCGCAAATGGAAGCGACCCGGATAGGGCATTGACAGACGGAACGTCTTTTGTTGCTTTTGTTACGGGGGGGATTGTTCTGTGCGGCTACACATTTCCTGTTGCATCACTTCCTTTAGCTGCACATAAAGACGGCCCTGGCGGATAATCCGCGGGTCCAATTTTTTAAGGTTCTTCTTTGAATCCGACAGAGATCGGAGCAATCAGAAGCGTAACCATGGTAAGTGTTTGTCTGGAGAAGGGTTTTGTCTCGGTTCGACCTGAAAATCTCTGTATTTTTATTCTTTTAGCTGTTTTTAAGGATATGGCGGGAATTTATATAAACGTCGATGTAACGTCCACAAGCTGCACGGCCGCACTGACCAGAAAATTGTTGAGTTGATAATAGTGAACTAATGACATTCTCTGTAGACAAAGTTCCTGTGAGAAATAAATCACTGGGAGAATCACAAGAAAGTGAATGAATGTTTGTCTGTCGTTAGCTTCCATGTTAGCCTTTTAGCGCAGAGATTAGTTTATTTCCAGTCCTTTGTTTGATTCACTAATTATTTGAACGGTAATTAATGTTAAAAATGAATGAATTAACCTCCACCTCCACTCGAAGATAAACTCTCTTCAGTAAAGCATCTGAACAGTTGCAGAGCTGATCAGCATAGATTATGAGAAAATTCACATTTGAGGTCGTCTGATTTAGTCCAAGGCTGCTCAGACTCTAGATCTGTCTTTGGATCAATTGAAACCCTGGACCCACTTGGGTTCTGAGCCTGTTCCAAGTAAGACTGGACTTGTTCTTACTTTTAACCAGGTTTATTCAATGGAATCTAAACAGGGGACAGGGCGTAGACTGTTTCGAGAGTCGTCCTGGTCCTGATTCAACATTTAATCAAATTATGGACCTGCTGAGGTCCACAGTTGATCATCTATAGTTGTTTATGTGACCGACTATACTCTCTTGATTTCTTGAAAATGTATCACCTGTTTATCCAAGAGCCAATAGCGGAGAGGTGACTTCTACTGAACAGCCTCCTATAAATGTACAGTTCCGGTTTACCATGCTTGGAACGTTGGGAGTCAGTTCTTGTGTTTCACCACTGTTAGCCATTTACTTACAGGCAGTGGTGAATGCGCTTGTGTGGTCATGTCAAGTGAAGTTGTTTTCTGATTGGTCTACAGACGGTGGGAAAGAGCAGTAAGATGCTGCAGCACATCGACTACAGGATGAGGTGCATCCTGCAGGATGGGCGAATCTTTATAGGAACCTTCAAGGCCTTCGACAAACACATGAACCTGATCCTCTGTGACTGTGACGAGTTCAGGAAGATCAAGTAGGTCACACGTCCACTTCTCCCACCGATACCTATATCTGTAGATGTATACCTATGTCAGGATGGAGAATATTAAAGAAAGCACCCTGAAATAGTTTGTATTTTCAATTCCAAAAAAATAATCTGGAGGTGTTTTTTTTTAAGCAAGTCTAAAGTTTCTAATGTGTTACAAACTGAAATTAAATGTGAAAATAGTGAAGGATGAAGATGATGGACGAAAGCAGAATAACCAAGTTAGTCTTGACAATAGAGTAAGTCCATTTACATAAATACATTTGTCATTGTCCTGTGTCTCCAGGCCTAAAAACTCAAAGCAGCCGGAACGTGAGGAGCGCAGGGTTCTGGGTCTGGTTCTGCTGAGGGGAGAAAACCTGGTGTCCATGACAGTGGAGGGTCCACCTCCTAAAGATGTGAGTACCAACTACATCCACTGCTCTTTCTGAGGATTTTTTTTTTTTTGTCTCAGATTGTTGACCTCTGATATTTCATTAGACTGGTATTGCACGAGTGCCATTGGCAGGCGTGGCTGGCGGTCCAGGAGTGGGTCGTGCTGCAGGTCGTGGCGTTCCTGCAGGGGCACCAATGCCTCAGGCTCCAGCTGGTTTGGCTGGGCCTGTCAGAGGAGTGGGTGGGCCTTCACAACAGGTAACCATGGCAATAGCTTTAATATTTGTTGACATGCAGTATGGGTGCATGATCAGGTGGTGACCTTTGGTGTGTGTGTGTGTAGGTCATGACTCCACAGGGCAGAGGTACCGTAGCGGCTGCAGCTGCCGGAGCAAGTATTGCTGGTGCCCCAACACAGTATCCTCCAGGGCGAGGAGCCCCGCCGCCAATGGGCCGTGGAGCCCCCCCTCCAGGTGATTGTCTCTCCCTCATCACACCAAACAATGGGCTCTGTTTTATTGTCGTGTTATTTAATCAACTTCAAATATCCATATGTACATTTTAGAAAATTTTGAGTTCTGTGGTGTTATACAGTGGTATGAAAAAGTTTGGGCACCCCTGATCGGTTTCAAGATTTTCCTTTATGTATCATTGGTTGTTCGGAACAGCAATTTCAATTAAATATATCATATAGCAAACAAACACAGTGACATTTAAGAGGTGAAATGAAGTTTATAGGATTTACAGAAAGTGTGCAATAATTACTTAAACAAAAGTAGGCAGGTGCATAAACCCTTGTTGTTTTATTAATTTGAATACCTTTAGCAATAATTACTGGAACATGTATTACTGTCAAATGACCTGAAAACAAAGATTGTTCAACATCATGGTTTAGGGGAAGGATACAAAAAGCTAGCTCAGAGACTTCAGCTGTCCCTTTCCACTGTGAGGAATATGGTGAGAAAATGGAAGACCCACAGGCTCAGTTCTAGTTAAGGCCCGCCACTGCAGGCCAAGAAAAATCTCAGATAAGAAGAACACAGCATTCCAAGACAAACACTGTTGTTGTACCCACAGTTAAATTTGGTGGTGGTTCCATCATGTTGTGGGGCTGTATGGCCAGTGCAGGTACTGGCAATCTTGTTAAAGTT